TATTATTCTTTTTATGTAAAGAAGGAAAAGTTCTATACTTTTTTGCATACCACTACAGCATATTCACTTGTGGGATTAACAATATATTTAGGTACTTGATTTTTTACACACATATATATATATATATATATATATATATAATATTAAAATTTATACATTGGAGATTAAAAGAAGTTTAAATATAACTAGTCCTTTCTTTTTTATATTATATAAAACAGAATTTGTGACATCACACAAAAATATGTACATGAAAAATATATATATATATATATATATATATATATGTATATTTTTTTATTTTTATTTTTATTTTGTTTATGCGATAATATAAAAATTTTTATTATCATAATTATCCTCTTTATTTTCTTTCTTTTACCATCTCTTAGGATATTCCTTCATTCATATGTGGAATGATGCAGTGCATTATTCGTATAAGCATTACATAAGAAAAGAAGTAAGGCAAAAAAAAAAAAATATATAATGATATTTATAAATTATGCAAGATAAATATTTTCATACTATAAATAATAAATAAATGACTATTTGTATTGTATACCTATTGTATGTGTATGCATATTATATATATATATATATATATATGTGTATGTAATTTTTTTTTTTTTTTTTTTTTTTCTGTGTATATATTTGGCGTATTTATTTTTTTTTATAAAAATATAAAATGAAATAAAATAAATACTTTTTGGTTTTAAAAAAAATAAAATTGGAAGAGCAATATATATGTATCATACGTTTATTAAGATAAATATCAGAAAATATATATTATTACAAATATTTATATATGCATATATATATATATATATATATATATATATATATATATATTTTCATAATTACCTTATTATATATATTATGTACAAAAAAAAAAAAAAAACATTTCCCATTCCATTGTATCTTTTTTTTTTTATTCTAGAAACAACGCAAAGAATTGTATGAAAAAATTAGAAATGCAAGAGAAAATGGTTTAATACCAAAAAGTGAAGTTTTAGATTAAAAAAATACAATATATACATATATATATATATATATATATATATATATATATATATATATATATATATATATATATGTATATATATATATTTTTGTATTTATTTATATTTATAGTTTTTTTTTTTTTATTCATTATAATTTTTTACACATACCATTTATATAAACATAAAAGTCTTTATAAACTTGTGTGAACGTTTTAAATATATCATCTTGAAAAAAAAAAAATAAAAATAGACAATTATTCAAATATACACATTATCCAAATAGCCAATTATTCAAATATACATATTATCCAAATAGCCAATTATCCAAATATACACATTATCCAAATAGCCAATTATTCAAATATACACATTATCCAAATAGCCAATTATTCAAATATACGCATTATCCAAATAGCCAATTATTCAAATATACATATTATCCAAATAGCCAATTATCCAAATAGCCAATCATCCAAATAGCCAATCATCCAAATAGCCAAATTATACAAACTATCCATTTAAAAAAAATGCAAAACATTTATAAGTCCTATTTAAAATATTATACATTGGCAATATTTTGCCTGACTTTCACTTTCGATTTTGTGAACAGCAGTTGTTGTCATTCAAAAAATGATGACGGAGTTATGTTGCCTATGTATTTTTCAAATAATGAAAATATAAAAATGTTATTTGACATATTTCAAGTAAAGAATAGATATCAATTTATATTTTGTAATATTTTGTGTATAATATTGGGTTTTTTTTCAGTATATATTAAAGTATTAAAAAAAAGACTTCATCATAGTGTAAAGAAAGTTGCTGATGGGGGAGACGGTTCTTATGTTAATATGAGTCCTTGTCAAAACGTGAATTATGGATTTTTATCATTTTTACATTATACCATAGATTATTTATTAATGCTAATTGTAATGACATTTAATCCTTATATATTTTTGAGTATTATGACAGGCCTTTCTTCTGCTTATCTTTTTTATGGTCACTTGATATAAACCTTTTTATGGACATAAAAAGAAAAGAAGAATATTAACAAGATATTTAGAAATTAGGAAAATGAAAACTGAGATAAATACATTTACATATATATGTTAATAATTATTTAAAGGAATTTTAAAAATACAAAAATAATATGTTTGTGGAAATATGAACATATATATGTATATATATATATATATATATATATATTATTTTTTTTTTTTAGTTTTATAATCATTTATATAATTTTTTTAAACAATGTAATATCCTTATTTTAGTTCATTTTATTTTATATTTCTTTTTTAAATATAACATTTATATGAGTATATATCTTATTGAGATATGTTTCTTTTTTATTAACATATATAAAAAATAAACAACAAAAAATTTTTAAGCGTAACATATATATATATATATATATATTTAAATTAAATATATAATTTATTTTTATTTAAATTTCCAAAAAAAAAATAAAAAAGTATCACATCAATTTTATAGTTTTATAAATATATTATATATACATCATAGAAAGAACCACATTAAAATTTCTTTTCTTTTTGTTTTTCTAAAATAATTTTTTATACCTTAAATTAAAAGAAAACAAAAATTATAAGTCTGTCCTATATATATATATATATATATATATATATATATATATATATAATACATTTGTGTATTTTTTTTTTTTTTTTTTTTTTTTTCTTATTCTTAATATATGCAAAATAAACGACAATAATTGTGTACTTTTCCAATGAAGGAAATAAAAAATTAAAAAAAAAAAAAATTATAAAATCAATTAAAATAAAAACAAATGTCCATAATTTTATATGTATATATATTTTAGCTGGTAAAAATATTATTTAAATGTTGAATATTTAAAAGCATAAATAATTTTTTTACTTTAAAAAATTCTACGTGCTATTCTTTTGGCCATTGTGATTTAATAATTTGTTAATATAAAATATAAGTGTACATATATATATATATATATAATATATTTGTGTATTTATTTTATTTTATTTTATTTATTTATTTTCCTTCTTTTTGTTGTTGTGTTGTCGATATTTGGATTGATATATATTATTTCCTTCCATCCTTTTTTATTTTTTTTTTTACTTATACAAATATTTGTTCTCATAGTATATAATTAAAAAAATTTTAAATTATAAAATAAAAATACAATATGAATGTGAAGGTACAGGAAGGACATCCTTATAATAGTTACGCGGAAATTAAAAAGAGGAAAACTAAAAAAAAAAAATATATACAAAATGATAGTGCTGGTAATAATGTAGAAGATAACGTGGAAGATAATGTGGAAGATAATGTGGAAGATAATGTGGAAGATAATGTGGAAAATAATGTGAAAGATAATGTGGAAAATAATGTGAAAGATAATGTGAAAGATAATGTGAAAAATAATGTGGAAAATAATGTGGAAAATAATGTGGAAAATAATGTCGAAGATAATGTGAAAGATAATGTGAAAAACCGTTTAAGCTCAAAGAATAATGAAAAAAGTAATCCTAGACATAAAAAGAAGAATACATCAAAAAGTCCCATATGTGATGGAAGAAAAAAGAATATTGAATTTCACACGTTATATGAAAGTGATGATAATAATAACATGATGTCTAGAACAAATAGTGTTCAGAGTATAGCTGAAGAAAAGGATATGCAATCAGGTGTAAAAAAAAATGATATTAATTATAAAGTAAAATTAAATACATTAATGTTACAATCATATTTACATAAAAGTTATGATAAAGTATCTAACATTCTAAAAAAAACATCACAGTCATTTATGAAAAAAAGTCTAAGTTATGAAGTGGAAAAGGTAAATGATAAAAGTGGAAATAATATACAAAATAATAATAATGAAAAGAATGAAACACATGGACATATTAATTATGAGCATGATGATGATTTTGTACAAAATTATAACAAAATATTTAACAATATGATTGATAATCCAACTAATGATTTATCAGATAAAGAAAAAAAGTTCTTCGAACAAAATTCACAGTTTATAAATAAAATGTTAGATGAAAATGCTAGTTGTCAAAAAAACAAAAAAGAAAAAATTTTAAAAAAATATAAAAAAAAAATTATAGAAAATAAAGATATATCATCCTTGTATGATAAATTCAAAGAATTATTAGATGAAAGAACATTATTAATTAAATTAATTATCTATTATAAAAATATTAATTACAATTATAAGCAGCATCTAGATAAAATTCAGCATTCTTATGATATACTTATTTCAGAAAATGAACAATTAAATTTAAATAATATCACTTTGAAAAAACATATAGATTTATTCAGAATCAATGATAATATAAAAAGAGATGATGACGAATATGTTAAGTGATTAATAAAGATACTACTACATAAGGTTTAAAATACAAAAAGAAATAATTAATTGTTATAATATTATATATATTATGTGCATAATATTTATAATCTTTTAATATTTCTTTGTTTGAAAAATATGCGAACGATTAGTACTATTAATTTTGTATCTTATACAAAATTATCACCTTTGCATATGTACAATTTGATAAAAAAAAAAAAAAAAAAAAATATACATATATATATATATATATATATATATATATATTATAAATACTATATACTTTTTTTTTTTTAAAGATTTTGTATGTTTACATATATTTAAAGTAATATATGCAATAATAATGAAGAATATATTTATGTGATTAATTTTATCGTATTAAAGCAAACATGTTTATAATACATATATATATATTATATATATATATATATTTATTTATTTATTTATTTATTTTTTGTATGTGAAAAATATAAACCTAAAATAAAGTTTAACATAATAGTAAATGTAAAAAAATGAGCACATATAACATGATGTATTTTTAATAAAAAGAATAATGCAGTTTAATATTGTAAAACAATTCAAATACATTTGTATAGGGTAAAAGGAATAATAAATTAAATATAATGAATATATATATTATATATATGTCATCATATATATTTATTTATATTTATTTTTAAAACATTGTTTTGGGGTACTGCATTTTTTAGCCGCTTTTATATTTTAAAATATAAATAAAAGTGAATAATAAAATGCTATAATAAAATGAGATATTTAAATATTTTTCATAATTTTTTTATAAGCCTATAATAAAAAATTAGCTAGATATTTAAATACAAAAATATAATATAATATAATATAATATAATATAATATAATATAATATAATATAATATAATATAATATAATATAATATAATATAATATAATATAATATAATATAATATAATATGATATAATATAATATGATATAATATAATATAATATAATAATAAATAAATTATATGAAATTAAGTAAATTAGCCATATAGACGTTCCTTTAAATTTTTTCAAAACATCCCTTTGCTCATCTTTTTGTCATAACTATAAAAATATTAAAAATAAAATATAAAGGAAATTTTATATATAATATATATATAATATATATAATATATATATAATATATATAATATATATATAATATATATAATATATACTTTATAAAAATAAGTGTATGGTTATTTATTTAGTATTATTTTTTTTTTTTTACTTATTTCTATGAGATCGCCCCTTATTAACTGTTTTTTTTAAATAATATCGTTTCTTGTTATCTAAAAAGGGAAAGAAAAAAGGAAGAAAAAAAAAAAAAAAAAAAACACATATATATATATATATATATATATATATATATATATATATATATATATATATATATATATATATATGTATACATTTATTTATTCATTTATTTATTCATTTATTTATTAATTTATATAATTTCGTTTATGTTACCCGATTGTATATTGTGCTCATTCTTTATATTTTTTATAGTGTTTAAATTATTTGTGTTATTTTTAAAGGATAAGGGATGTTTTTCATATAATTGATTGTTCTGTTCCTTTTTAATATGATCAGGTTGTTCATTTTCTTGATAATGTTCTTGTTGCATTTCATTTTTTCTATACTTATTTGAAATAATTATATCGTTTTGAAAATTATCTAAAGACATAACTGATGATTCTTCATCATTGCTTGATGATTCAGTTATGTTAAGTATTTTATTTTTATTTTGTTCATCTAATGTATTATTTATATATTTATATTTATGTGTTTTCTTTTTTTGTGTACTTTTTATTATATTACGTTCTTTTAATAATTCGAGCACATTATTAAATTTTTTATTTTTCATATCTGATATGTCCTCCTTTATGACTTTATCTATATTATTGTATTTTTCGTTTGCTGGTAAAATTTTATTTATTTTTTTCTTATAAAAAATATTATCATTATGTTGTATTTTTTGCACATAATATTTTTTATCATCATGGACATTATTATTGTTATTATTGTTATTATTGTTATTATTGTTATTATTATTATTATCATCATCATCACTATTTTCATAATTTTGATTGTTGTTCTGATTAAGTTGATTCATAAAAATATATTCTATTGATTGAGAAACGTTAAAATTATATTTTTTTAAAGATTTTAAAATAAAATTATTATTGTTTACATTTGTTATTTCTTTAATTTGATTGATTTCATTTTTATATTTCTTATGAATAATTTGTTCCAGTTGTTTTTTGTTTTTTAAATTCATAAAATTATTTATATAAGAAAAAAAATATAAATCAATTACATTTTCTTCTAATATATATTTATCCAGAAATAACCAATTACATAATTGAATATCATTTTTTATGAATTGGATATTTGTTTTATTGCTTTTCTCTTTTAACATATCAATAATAAGAGAAAAGTAAAATACACTGTTTTTACTATCACCATATTTTAAATTATATTTTATTAGCATGTTTAAAATACACATATATCGGTACCTTAAAAATAAAATATCCTTCATATGATCATCATTTAGTTGGCTTCCATATACATGATTAATCTAAAAGAGGGGGTAGGGGAAGGTTAAAAAAAAAAAAAAAAAAAAAAAAAAAAAATAAATAAATAAACATATATATAAATAAAAAGAACAAATATAAATATATATATACATATATATATATATATATATATATACATATATATACATATATATATATATATATAATATCTTCGTTACAATTTTTATCCTTTACTAATAATATTTCTTATTATTACCATTTCAACATATGTGTGAATAAAAATATAAAGAAATGATGTATCTCCCTTTAACAAAATATCCTGAGATTTATTATTATTCCTGAAGTCATCAATATTGTTTTTATTATCACTGTATATCATTAATTTTACTATAATTAATTCGTTGTATAATTTATTTTCATTTATATCAAAGTAATAATATTTTTTAAAAAATTTACAAAAACAATATATGGTAAAAAGTAATTCATTTAATTCAAAGATATAATGTGTTATTATATTTTTATACTTTATATAATGGTCTAATTTTTTGTTCATATTTTTTAATTCTTCATAGAGATGCTTAATATATTTATAAATATAAAAACAATTAAATTTTGTTTTATCATAAATATTATAAATATATGTTTTAATCCTTTTATTTTTTTTATCTATAGTATAACACAACATAATAATATCCATCATAATATGTATTTTCATAAAAACATTTTTTAAAAACAAAACATCACATCTGTTTTTATTTAAATATATATCTACTAACTTTAAATAAAAATTTAAAATACACAAATTTAATTCTGAATTATATTTTTTATCATCACTTAACAATTCAAATGGAAGGTCATAATTTCGTTCTGACTTTAATAAATATGAAAAAAAGTAAGACAACAAAGAAACATTTTTTTTTAATGTTAATAAAATGAAATTATCATCTTGTTTAAGTAAATAATTAAAGCATCTTTTTATATATTCTACATATACTTTTTTCTTTTCTCCTTTTTCTTTTTTTACATCCACATATATAAAATTCTCTTTGAAGTATTTATTTTCATCCATTATCAAAAAAATTGGTAAATATTAAAGCACGAATAAAATCATATAAACGAAAAAAAAAAAAAAATACCACACACAGGTATATATATATATATATATATATATATATATTTATTTATTTATTTATTTATATATGACTCCTTTTTTATTTTTAATCCTTTAAAACAAAATTTTATGCTTTATCATTACTGTTCTTCAGTTCAGCGAAATTTTCTGAATTGTTTATATTTTTAATCAATTCAAAATTTAATAAGCTCTCACTATCTTTTGAACGATTCTTTATAAAATATTCACATTCAATATATCTTTGTGTACAATTCCATATACACTTTTTATTTGTATTGCTTAAACTTTTTTCTACAATAAAAGAGAAATATAAATAAATATATATAAATAAATAAATAAATATATATATATATATATATATATATATATATATTTTTTTATTAAATCTTCATATATATATGTGTGTTATATATAATCGTTCTATATACTTTTATTTTTATTTTATTTTATTTTATTTTATTTTTTTTTATTTTTGCTACCTGGATAGCTAACACATTTATCAAAACAGTAAGAGGAAATCTTACACGTTTCTTTAAATGATGTAATAATCTAGCAACAAGAAAAAAAAAAAAAAAAAAAGATAAAGTAAAAATAAATTTATTAATCGATCAATGATAACATATACAAACATAACATCACGTGAAATATGTATGACAAATATTTATATGCAAAATTATAATATATATAAGTATATATTAATATATGTATGTATTAAATGGTCTTACCTTATTTAATGTATTCAATTGTGTTAAAAAATTATCCAAGTTTTCTTCTTTTGCTTTATTTTCCATTTTATAATAATAGCATAAAAAAAGAAAATAATAAAACAGCAAAAAAGAAAAAAAAAAAAAAAATTTATATATATATATATATATATATATATATCTTTAATTTTAGATTTGTTGTATTCTATCTAATTTAAATAATATATTCATAAAATAATACAAAAAAAAAAAAAAAAAAATAGAATAATAATAAATAATAAAATTAAAGAATAAATAAATATATAAACATAAAATAATATAAAATGATATTATATAATTATAAACGTATAAATTATATAATAATAAAATAAATATAAATAACAATGACATAACATATATTATATAATGATCATACGTATATAATATATATATGACATACTATACAATATATATATATATAATATAATATAATATAATATAATATAATATAATATAATATAATATAATATAATATAATATAATATAATATTATTCATTATTTAAAAAAAATATATTGAATATTTTTTTTTTTTTTTTTTTCATTTTTATTTGTGCTCATTTATATATTCACAATCATAATATTTAAATGATGATACAATTTTTGAGAAAAAAGGAAAAAAAAGAATTTGCCTATATTTTAATTTTTATTGTTTTATATATATTTTTAATGGAAAGAAAATATGAATGGGTAAAATTGTAGGTTTCCTTTTTTTTTTTTTTTTTTTCTTTCTTTCCTTCTTTCTTCTTCTTTCTTGTTATTTTATTTTCTTTCATCTTTTTTTTTTGTTATACATTCAGAATCTCATGAGAAAAGAGAAAAAATGAACAACATTAATAAACAGTTAGTTAGGGACATATACCAAATAGGTGAGAAAAAAATAATATAATGATATATTAATATATATATATATCAATCTATATATCTATATCTATATATATATATATATATATATATAATCACAGTGTGTTTTATTTATTTGTGATATGTGCTCTTATTACAGATACGATGAAGGTATATAATTTCCTAGTTGTAGTAGTTTTATATAAGAAAAGAAAAAAAAAAAAGATTACATATTATTTTGCTTTATATATTTTCTTTTGTTAGGCCTAGAACATAAGGAAGCAATAAGTATTGATAGTTTAGAAGAAATATATGAAAAGAAAAAAAAAGGAAAATTAAAAAGAAACGAAATTGTTTATGCTCTTAATATTCTTGAAAATGCTCGTGCATGTTCTATAAAAAATGAGAACAATACAATTATAACACGCATGAGAAATGAACAAGTCACAAAAAAATTAAAAGAATTGAGTGATATAGATTTTCTTATTTTTACCAAAGTTGAAAATAGTCAAAACAATGGAATATGGACGGCTGATTTGAGAAAGCAGACCAAATTATTGGTATA